TTTTGGAGGATTTGGTGATTTGTTCTAAGCGATCTCTCATACAAAAACACTTTTAAGAGACCATATTTTTCTTTTTGTTATTTTTCTGTTAATTTTTTAAAAAAGGAAATAATATTTTAAAGAACTATGAAACATTAAGTCTTTCTTTTCTATGGAACAATTAGGTAATCCTATTGGACTTAATATTTCTCTTAGTATTTTTAAAGATACTTATTTGTGTGACAAAGAATTAATTTCACTTAAAAAAACTGCTATTTTTAATGGACTAAGTGGGTTATATCTTAGAACTATTGCATGGAGAGTATGGCTTGGGGTATTACCAACTCCAATAAGTATTAATTGGGTTGAAGTTATTAAACAAAATAGAGAAAAGTATAACTTATTAATAAAAAAATACTTTGATGGGGATAAACAACGAGATAATAATACAGAAAGTAATGAAGATATTAAAGACTTAAATTGTAGAATTAATAAAGATATTGATAGATTATTTAATATGTATGACTACTTTATGGATGAAAATTTTCGCAATAAAATAAGAAGAATGCTTTATATTTATGCTAGAGAACATGAAAATATGAATTATCAACAAGGATTTCATGAATTAATAGCAATTTTATATCACTCAATTGATTTTGATTTATCAGAACAAGTTCATATTCAATGGAAAAATGAATCAAGTTTTCCAAAAGAATATATCCCGGTTGTACAATGTTTAATTGATAGGTATTATATTGAAAATGACTGTTATATTCTATTTGAATGTCTTATGAAACAATTAGGATTTGTATATGAAATTAAAAGAGAACAAGATAGAAATGAAACAAGTGTAATTCAGCAAAAAAGTGATGAACTTTTTGAGAGAATAAATAATATAGATAAAATTTATTACGATGTATTAATCTCTCATGATATTATTCCATCTGTTTTTGGGATAAGATGGATAAAGATGTTATTTGCACGTGAATTTCATATTGAAGATGTTGTTGAAATATGGGATGCAATTTTTGCTTATGGAGAAAATTTAAAATTAGTGGACGGTGTATTTCTTTCAATGATGTTGTATGTCAGAAATGACATAGTAGAACGAGATGACCCAACATACACTCTTCGTAGATTAATGAAATTTCCTCCTGTTTTTGCTCTTCGACCATTAATTGATATGGCTGTAAGTATCTGTGATAGAACAAGTAAAATATCTTCAATTCAACAACAAAATCTTGTTAACTTTAATCCAGTAAAAGCAAAAAGAGAAAAAAGAAAAGCTGCTAAGTTCAGTGCAGAAAAACAGCATTTAACAATATCAAAAAAAGAAGATGTTATCCCTTCAAATCAACAACCCTCTATTCCCATTGTTGGTCATAAAAAAATTGATAAAGGTATGAGCAGAAACAAACAAAAGCTCATTGAAATTTACAATAATTTAATTGACCTTGCAGGGACAACAAATAATGACCATATTCGTCTTAAGGAGATTGAAAAGATGGTAAATGATGTAATGAATGATTTGTGAGGTATGTCAGTTATTAATAACATTAAACAAAACGATAAATAACTTTGAAGATTTTTATAAATCATATTATCGTTCTTTTCGTCTCAAAATATAAACAAGGAAATATTTTTCCTTCAATTTAATTTGTTTATTATTTTTGTTGATTTTTTCTTTCATATATTACTTTTTCAAGAAAAACTAGAAAAGATGACTGTTAATTTAAATGTCAGTAGTTAGTTTAAGCGTTCGTTTTATAAATAAAGGCTATGCTGTTGGAGAGAGGTTACAAGGTTTTCTCCTTATTAATGTAACAAAGAGGGTAATTGTTAATCAATTACATTTTAACTTAATTGGCGAAACTATTTTGTCAAATAATGCTTCAGACAAAAAAGCAATCAAAACAGTAACTAAATTTTTTACTTCACGTGATTATCCTCCATTGGCAGAACAATCTAACGTTTCTTGTGAACCATTTTATCATGAATATTTTCCAGGTACCCATGCAGTACCATTTTCAATTATCATTCCTATTGTCCCACATCCTTCTTTACACCTTAAGGGGGAAGTTGGAGTAAGGTATCGATTACAAGCAACATTACAAATTGTTCCATTGAAAATAAAAGAAGATTCGGAGAAGACAATGGCATTATCAACATTTACATCATCAAACGAAGTACCAATTATTTATTGTATTAAAGATGTTTTTGATGTAAAGAAGCCAGAAGAAGTATACAACAGAGACCAAGTATTAGTAAGAATGAGATGTACACCTGGAATTAAACCTAATGAACCTATTAAAGTATTTGTTACAATTAGTAATAATACAGGGAAACCATTAAAACCAATTATGTTATGGTATTCAGAACATAGTTATAGAGAAACGTATATTACTTCAAATGGTGGTATTCAAGAATTAGATGAAATACCTAAATTATTACAGAAAGAATTTATTTTAGAATCAACTAATTTATTTCCAACAATAAAAGAAGATGACTTTATTGTGGAGTCTTATGTTGAAATAAGAATTCAATTAAAGAAAAAGCCTACTATTATAGTTAAGTTTCCTGTTACTGTAGGATGGGGTAAAAGTACCTTTGAAGGAAATCGTGCACGTGCTGCATTAGATGGTATTGATTTTTCAAAAGACAAAATAGCATTTTATGGAACGCATATGAGACCCACACCAAATTGTGAAAGTGTTATTCAAAAAGTTGACGTAGAGGGTATTCCAGTTTATATAAATCATCTTTGGAGAAAGTGTTATGGAGATGAGTCATGTAAGAATTATTTAAATATTAGATATCCGTTACCTGAATGTAAAAGACTACCAAAAGGATGGGGAATTGGAATGGACAGAGGAGAAATGTATTTTATTAATTGGAATAAAAAATATACTACATGGATAGATCCTAGAAGTTTTGAAGAACGACAAATAAAAGTACAAAATATACAAATAACTCTTATCAGAGGTATGAACTTTCCAACATTAAAAGGAAAACAAACACAATTTTGGTGTGTTGTTACTGATAAAGATAATAATCAAATTAAAAGTGGTAAATCTACTAAATCCATTGACCCTATTTGGGAGGGAGATGAAAACACTTTCTTAGTTCAATTAGAAGAAAATAGAGAAAACGTTGTGATTGGTTTCTTCGGTTCTAAAAAATTTGTAGGAGCAGTTGATTTACCATTGTGGAGAGTTGTTGAAAATGGAATTGAAGAATGGTTCCAATTAAAAAATTTTGGAGATTTTAGTATCCCTCAAACTGGTGAAGTACTTTTAAGAATTCAATGGGAAGGGGATGTACTTCCTGTACAACCAGAAAAGGTATTAATGAGATTTGACCCATATTATTGTAATACTGAAGTAACAAAAGAACAAGAAAAATTTATAAATAAAATTAAAGTAAAAGAGCAGATGGATAACGTAACATTTAAAACAAGTGGTGATTTTATTACAGGAAAGAAAGAAATTTATTTGGAAAGTGGAATTTCAGAAAATAATATTATTATGGGTATTGCTCCAAATTATGACGTTGACTTAGTTGGAAGTAAAAAAGAAGAAGAGATATTTGATATTCCTGAAGACGAAGAAATTGTAGTTGAAGAATTACCTTCAGACTTAAATACTAAAAAAGTAGAAGATATGAAAAAAGGAGAAATTAGTTCAAGTAGTGCAATTGAAAGTGAAACTGAAGAATGTAAAAATGAATTAATGTCAAATACTAACCCTAAAAGTTCATCTGAAACAGAAAAAGCAATTGAAGTTGCAAGAGAAGAGTCAACAAAGAGTATAGAAACTAATAACAAAGACTTACAAAATACAGAAATAAAACAAAACGAAAAAGAAGAAACTACAATAATACATCAAGGAGATATCGAAGTTCATAAAACACATGAAATTGTTAATGACGAACCCCAAAAGGAATGTGAGGAAAATTTAATTAAAAATGAAGAAGAATCAGTCAATAATAAATTATTAGGAACGAAGAGTGAAATAGATAAACAAACCCAAGAAAATATATCAGATAATAAAACAGAAAAAACTCTTCCTAATACCGATGATATTAAGGAAGTGTTTGATCAAGTAAGTCAGCCAGAATTAAACAATAAAGAGGATAAACAAGTTTTGGAATTAAAGGAAGAAGTTGTAAAAAATCCTCAAGAAAAAGAAGAATTAGTTCGGTCATCAAACAAAGAGAATGGTTTACAAGATACTACTCTCCCAAGTAAAAATGTTATTATGACTAAAGAAGAAACAGAAACAGACCAAATTCAAAACGATAACATTGGTCAAGAAGACGAAGATGAAGAATTAGTTGAACTAAAAAAAATTGCTCAAAAAGCAAAAGAGTATGAACAAAAAAGAAAAGAAGAAAAAGAAAGAAAGAAACAACAACAAAGACCACAACAACTACAAAAAGAAAAGTCTATTAAGGACATTATTCAATTAAATGAAATGATTACACAACGTGAAAAAGAAGAAGACGACAAAAAAGAAATGATTAGAAAACAAGAGGAAGAAAGAATTAAGCAAGCTCAAAAAGAACAAGAAGAAAAAGAACATCAAATCATTGAAGAGGAAATGAAGAGACAAGAAGAAAAAATAATAAAACAAAAGAAAGAAGAAGAGGAATGTAAAAAGAAATTAGAGGCTGAAATAGAAATAGAAAAACAAAGAAAACAAGACAAAGAAAAGAGTAGAATAGAAGAAGAAAAGAATGAAGAATTAAAAATAGTCCAAAAAGAAAAGGAAGAAGAAGAGTATAATAAAAGAATAAAACAAGACTCAGAAGAGAATGAAAGAAAACAAAAGAAAGAAGAAGAGGAAAAAATTCAAAAAAAGAAGGAAGAAGAGGAAGAGAAACAAAGGTTGAATGAAGAAAAGAAAAAGAAAGCATTAGAAGATCAACAGAAGAAAGAAGAACGAAGAAAACGAAAAGAAGAAAAGAAACAGGCACAAAAAATAAAAGAGGAAGAAGAAAGAAAGAAAAAACAAGAGATGGAATCAAAAGCGGCTTCATTTGGTGTTGTTGACCAAATGAATTTCACCAATTCAGAGAAAGAATTATTAGGACTAATTTAATTATAACATCATTTATCAAATTCAATTAAATGTAAGAGGGATGTGTTAATTTATAACACTTCAAAAAATAAATAAGGAAGTAAAGCACCACAAATAAATACCCATAGAAATATTGGAAGTCCAAAAAGAAATACTTCTTTTAATGTATAATGTGCTTTTTGATTGATAATCATATGAGTTGGATATCCAATTGTTAATAAAAATGAAGACGAGGATGCTATCATCATTGTATACATTGCTGATTTAATTCCAATTAATGAGCCATGTTCTGCATTATCGGAATCTCCATAATAAAGATGCCATACCATTGGAAACATTATATCAACAATAACCGTATTAGCAAATGGTTGTGCAAGTAAAATGGTAGGTAAAAAAATTCCCATTAAAATACCGTATTTTCCTAATGAAATAAACCATTGAGAACAAGATAATGTCAGCAATGTACCAATATGTGTTGTTTGGATTGCTGAAGTGATTCCATATGATGCTGCAATAACACAAATCACTTGAACATCAATAGATTGATAGATTTCTGAGACAGTCATACATTGAGTGATGATAAGAACCAAAGCGGAAGCAAAACCAGAAACAAACAATGGACAAACTTTTGTTGATTCTAAAATACATGGAATAAGAAGACAAAATATTGGAACAATAGTTTTAATAATATTTGTTGGTTGTGGTAAATCAACGTCTATTTGTGTAACTAAATGGAAATCATTTCCTTTTAATTCTTGTTTTTGTGGAGAAAGAACAATGTACGTTCTTTCAGAAGAAAGAATATTGATTTGGTTCAACTGTTCTTTCCATTTATTCTCATCTATTGAAATTCCTAATAATCCAACACCACGTTCATTAATCATTTTAATATCTTGTCCAATTATTGTGTCTTGAGGACTTAAGGCAATTTCATAGACAGTAGCTCCAACTAACTCATGAATGGTTGGATCAGAAGGAACAACTCCATTATATGTCAATACATCTTTTAGTATTGAAGATGGAGCAATATAACAAAGTATATCATTCTTTTTTATAATTGTATCGTCTTTAACATCAATATAATTTTCTCCACGTTTAATATAACATAATTTACCATTAGGGGGTTTATTTAATACAGTTTCTCCCAAATGAAATCCAATAAATCGAGACTTTTCTTCTATACGGAAAGTGAATATATAAGATTTGTTTGTTTTATGGAATGATTCTTCTTTATGACGACTAAGAATCCCATTTGCAAATATAATATAAATAAGTGCTGGAATAGAAATGATTGATGAAATAATAGCAATTTCAAAATATGGCATTGTAATATTTAAATGAATACCTTTTTTATTAAGTTCTAATACTTTAGTAATTAACAACGTTCTTGCCCTATGGAATGATGAATTACCAAGTATTGAATTCATTCCACCAAGAATAGCACTAAATGAGATTGGTAATAAAACTTTACTAGGAGGAATTCCAGATGTTTTTGTCCAAGTATGAACTATAGACATTGATAATAAAACAACTGGTATATTGTCAATTACAACAGATAACAAAAAAGTAATAAGAACCATAAATAATAATGATGGCCAAACATGTTTTTCATATGTTTCTGGAAATATATTTCTAGTTAAAAATTCTAAACTTCTATTTTTAATTATTGCTGTTGAAAGAATATAAGAAACAATAATTGTTATTACTGACCGATCACTAAATCCTTGAAAACCTTGTGCAGGAGTTATTACTCTACAAGCAATTAAAAGACCAACTATTGCCATCATAATAACTCCAGGATGATATAGATTAGATAAAATTAATGTAATCATTACTCCAACAAATATCAAACAAAGAATTGTTTTATAAGTAACATCTCCAATTTCAGCCATTTTCCAATCAGTAAAATAAACAACTAATGAAAAAGCAATAAAGCACAAAACAAATAATATACAATACCATTTTTCTAGTAAAATCCATCCTACAAATTTAAAGAACTTTAAGAAAGTAACTTTTCTTTCAGCTTCTTCTTTTCGAAAAATTTCAATATCGTTATTTGAAATAAACTGATCAATTGGTTCATTAACTTCAATCTCGTTGTCGTCTTGTGTTAGTTTTTCTTCTTCAGTTAGTAATGGTTCATCCATTTTGTTTTACTTTTATTATGTAATCTTCTTTTACAGTTTCTTTACTTCATTTTTTAGATTTTTTCTTTTATTATATTATAACAACATTAATCCCATTTTCAGGGTTTTTTCCTATTGTATTTTTTATTTATGTATTGTAATTAGTTTTTTATATTTTTAAAAATCCTATCATATTAAACAAAAGTTTTAGTAAAGCACTATTCTCAAAGGGATACAACAACAGACTATTCTTTTTAGTGAATTAAATAAAAATAAATTCAACAACTCTTATTTTATTGTTTTAAGTGAAAAAGCGTAATCTAAAAAAGAAACGGTTATTTTAAGATTAATTAGACAGAATTGATTTATTATAACCAAATTCATTAATAATATAGCAATAATCAATACCAAAATCAGAAGAATAGTTTATTCGAAGAAAGATTTAAAAAATGCTAAAAACAGACACAAATTCATCTTAAAAAGGTGAACTTGAAAAGAGAGTTAAAAACAAATGACAACAAGTGAATTAATTGATGATTATTTCTCAATCTTAGATATTGATCATGACAAGAAGATTTCTCGGGATCAAGTC